CCCAGTAGTGGAATTGCTGGGTCAAATGGTATCTCTATTTGCAACTTTTTGAGAAAGTGCCATACCGCCTTCCATAGTAGTTGCACCATTTTATATTCCCACCAACAGTAAATATAAGGGTTCCAGTTTCTCCACAACCTCACCAGCATTTGTTGCTTACTGTTCTGTTACATTTTGCTATTTTGACTGGGGTGAGATGATATCTCACAGTTGTTTTGATTTGCATCTCTCTTAGAGCATGGAATTTTGAACATTTCTTCATGTGCTTGTTAGCCATCTGAATGTCTTCGGTGAAGTGCCTGTTCATGTCCTGTGCCCATTTTTCTATTGGATTATTTACCTTTATCTTGTTGTGGTGTTGTTTCTATCTCTTAAGGAACAAAGTACTTATTTTTCTGCAGATGTACTCCTCATCATAGAGACAGAAATGAATAAAATGATTGTCCATATTTCTTATGTTTGCTTAATTTAACATAAATATATATAACTTGTGTTTTCTCAAAAATCAAGGAGTCCTAGTAGTATAGTGTACCACAAGGTCAGTAGTTCTAATCCACTGGCTGCTCCAAAGGAAAAAGATGGGCATTCTCCTCTCATAAAGATTTACAGCCTCAGAAACACAAAGGTGTGGTGCTATTAGTCAGAACCAGTTCAAAGGCAGTGAATTTTTCAAAATTGGAAATGAGGTTACTTCACTGTTTTTGTTTTTTTAAATTTTTTACTGCAGTTTGAGTGAAAGTTTACAAAGTATATTGAATTTCCATGAAGTAATTAATCTACATTTTGTTTTATTACATTACAGTGGCTATGATACTATACTATACTGGTTATACTTTTATTGCATCTTTTCAAAAGATGATTTGAATGGAATTTTACAAGTTGGCTTTTCATTCACTCATTTATGCAGATTTATCCCCCTTTATCTCCCTAACTTTGCTGTACTCTTAAGTTAGAGAGGCACATACATAAACATGTCTACCTGATTTTACCTTCAGGCATAAATGGAACTTTGTCTCTGGAGTTTTAAAATGAGGTGAATTTGTAATTTATGCTTGGTCCTGTTCTTTGATAAGTATTGTTTGATTTTATTTTTAATTGTTTCACAAGTAGTCTCAGTTTGTTACCCAGAACTCTTGAGGATTGCATGATTTGACTTTGCCATGGAAAATGCATTCCTAAACAAGTGTGTACTGCCCTGCGGCCTTCATTTCCCTTGCTTCATCTGGCTTCCTGATGTATTTTTCCTTTATCTCCTAGGTTACTGAGTCTTATAAACAGTATGATTTTGGGAAGGTTGTGCGGCTGTTAAGAGCATTTTATACTAGAGAACTCTCTAACTTTTATTTCAGCATCATCAAAGATAGGTATGTATGGTAAATATTTTAACACATCACAGACGTTTCTTGATTTTGGATTCAATAACTGGCAGATATCGGGGACACACGGATGGTCAAGGTGGACAGCACCGTGCAGTTATTAGGAAGTTAGGTTTTGGTGTCACAGCTGATTTTGAACTTTATATGATTTGGCAAAATTTATCCTGTAATCTATTTCTTTTATTAAAAAGTAATGATAACTAACTCATAGTTAAGAGAATTGAGAGAGTGTATATTATATGTTTAATGCTCTATAAAGTGCTCAGTATATATAATAGTTACTAATAGGAGATAGAGAACAATGTACTTACTCGCAGGACTCTACAAATGTGAGAGAAAGAATCATTAGGCATTTTTTATATAATACCATTGTGTAATGTTAGTAGGATCCTTTAAAAAGAAAGTTTGGTGCTAAATCTTCATTTATTGCTCCTGTGTGCAAGTGATGCTGTACATTTCTACTAAAGTAGTACAGTGAGAGAGCCGACTCATTCTGTCCAAGATATGTCAGGGCTTCCCAAGCCCTCCCTTCAGCACGTGGGAAGTGAGAGTCAGTTTAAGAGTAGCAGCTATCATGCTAATATCATGGTAATAGTGACTACTAGCTTCTCGATTCTTCAGTGTGATTCTATCATAGGTACTTTTCTGAGGAGGGAGTGAAATAGAGGTATCAATAATTTATGTAGTAGATTGCTTTTTTAAAAATGATACAAGTCTATTTACATGTAGTAGGTAATTTTCTTTATTTACAAGATGATTTAAAATAGGATTGCTGTTGTAAACTCAGCCTAAGCCAAATCCTGTCTTGATGGTCATGATTCATAAAGTTGTGTCAACTGCTAAAGAAATGATTCCTCTTTAGGCTGTACTGTGAACATGAAAATGATCCCAAACGACGCTCTTGTCAGACTGCATTAGCTGAAATTTTGGATGTAATAGTTCGTTCTTTTGCTCCCATTCTTCCTCACTTGGCTGAAGAGGTGTTCCAGCACATACCTTATGCTAATGGTAAGAAAAAACTGATTTTTTTGTAAAGTGGGATGGTTGCTCCTGAGGGTCCAGGTTTCACTTGTCCACTTTCACAGGATTGGTGCGTTACAGCCTGGAGGTCTTGGTCACGTAGTAGTTTCTGCAGGTAATGGAGAGGAGTCAAGCCATCTGCAGGACTTTCTAAAATTTACTAGCCTCTGTTTAAAACAATTTTTGGCTTAGGATAGAGCAGGGTTCAGAGCTGTTGTACATAGTGTTGCTATATAACAAGAACACAATAACATTTTTTTCATTCATAAACACTGTGTTTCATGCATGTACATTGTGTTCCACACAGTCCCTCTTGGTGCTAGCCTCTTGAAACCCACAGCCTGGGAAAAAAAATTTGGCAATGACATACCTGATAAGGGACTCGTATCTAAAATGTATGGAATACTCCAGCATCTCAACAAGAAAAAGGTAAAGAACCCAATTGCAAAATGAGCACAAGACATCGACAGAATTTCACCAAAAAAGAAATTCACATGGCAGACAAAATGAAGAAATATTCAAAATCCCTTTCTATCAGAGAGATAAAAATCAAAACAACTATGAGAGAGCATCTCACTCCAGCAACAACAGCGAAGTTCAACGGGGCAGCAAACAACAAATGCTGGCAAGGTTATGAAGAGATTTGAACTCTTACTCACTCCTGATGGGAATTTAAAATGGGACAGCCACTACTGACGATGGTCTGGAACATTCTCAAAACTTTGGAAATAGAAATACCATTTGACCCATCTATCCTTCTGGGGTAGGGTGTACTGGGAAAACACTGAAGAAACCAGAGCCATAACTCAAAAAGATGTATGCACACACGTTTATTGCTGTGTTACTCACAATAGCTGGAAGTCCAGCTGGCCATTAATAGATGGAAAATCTGTGGTATATTTATAAAATAGAATATTATGTAGCATTGTAAAACAACTCATAAAACTACACAATATAGGTGAGTCTGGAAGACATCATGCTAAGTGAAATAACTCAGGCACGAAAGGATAAATGTTGTATAACATCACTGTTAAAAAGTAAGACTGACATGGGAGTTAGAGGGGAGAACAAGAAAAGAGTGGATAGATAATGAACACTGCAATGGAACAGGTAAGGGAAGGATCCTCTGAAAGGAATGTGTGATTAGGCATTACAAATAAGACAATTAACAATCTAGAACCAGAGGTGCATTACAAAGTGGACTGGAGGAGGCAAAAGGTAAGAATGAATGGAAGCTTAACATTCTTGTAAACTTTTTTACAATCACCTGCGCGCACACACAGATGTTCTGGCATCTTTACAGTAGTACTGAGAAATCACTTCTCTTAAATACCTTTGTAGATGTTCAGAAGTAGGAAATTGCTTTATTAAAACCGAAAACATAATGCTTTTTAGGTTTTTTGCTTTACCAGTGGCCGAGTGGGTAAAGAGTTGTGCTGCCAACCCAAAGACAGATGCTTGAAATCCACCAGCTGCAACTCAGGAGAAAGATGGACGGTTTTCTCCTGTGTGCTCTACAGCCTCTGAAAACCTGCCAAAGGATCAAAATTATGAGTTGATTGTGACTTGATGACAATGACGTTGTTTTTTCAGTGTATATTAAGCTTACGGAAAATGAGACTTTTGATGTTTAGTAGCAATACTGTGACATTTTACTATATAGTATACCATTTGTTTATTAGGAACATAATGATTTCTGTGTGATAGAAATGTTTGGTAAACATTTTCAGTAACTGTAATATTTAATAAAGTACTAAGTACTAATATTTAAGTACTAAGAATTGTAAAGAATAATTCTTACCGTGCATCAGTAGTGAATATTTCCTGGAGTTTTAGAGTTCCATATATAGATTATTATGCTTGTAAATTAGTCTATTTGTTTTTTTCCTTTTTAAGAACCCAAGAGTGTTTTCCGTACTGGGTGGATTAATATAAGTTCCATATGGAAGAAACCAGGATTGGAGGAAGCAGTAGAGAGCGCATGTGCTATGAGAGATTCGTTTCTTGGAAGCATCCCTGGCAAAAATTCAGCAGAGCACCAAGTTACCATTGTCATAGAGCCTGGACTGCTTTTCGAGATAATGGAGGTATAAAGCAGTTTCTACCTTTTGAAGGTTTTTGGATCATTTGAGTGCATACTTAGGAGTATGACTGGTTAGCTTTGTAAGAAACTACTAGGTGTATAGTTTTGCATCTACTCTGCAGCAGGAGGTTCTGTTCTGTGCCATTGCCAGGATTTTGGATGTTTGCCTTTGCAGTAGATGTGTAGAAGTTTTTTCATTTTAATTTGAAACTCCCATACAACAAACAGTGTGCATCTTTTTTTGTGAAATAGCCTAATAATAAATGCTGTGCATATATACTTATCTTCTTTGGGAAAGAGTCTCTTCAGATTTTTGGTAATTTTTAAATAAGATTATTCCTTGATGAGTTTTAAAAGTTCTTGTTATAGTTTTTAATACAAGTCTTTCTTTTATTAGATAGATATTTTAAAAATACTTTCTAGTCTTGTTTGTTCATTCTCTTAACATTATCTGTTGCAAAACAGAAGTTTTGAATTTTGATCAGGCCTAACTTACTGGTCTTTTTTACTTTTATGGATTGTGCTCATAATACTGTATTTTCATTATTAAACTCAAGGTTGCTTTTATTTTCTCCTAGATAAATTTATAATATTATTAAATTATAACTTTACACTTTATATTTGAAGCTGTGATCCATTTTGAGTTAACTTCTGTGAAAACATAAATTTTTTTGCATGTGAATGCCTAATTTTTCTATCACTGTCTGCTGAGAAAAAAAAATCCTTTTTCTATTGGACTGCCTTTGTTCTTTTATCAGAGATCAATTGACTATATTTTGTGGGTTTCTATTTTGGCTCCATATTCTGTTCTCTTGGTCAACTTGTCTATTCTTTTGTTAGTACTACATTGTCTTGACAACTATAGTTTTATAGTGACTCCTCTGAGCTTGTTATTCTTCAGTTCTGTATTGACTATTCTGAGTGGATCTCTATAAAGGAACTTGCTGAGATTTTCATTGTGATTGCATTGAATCTGTAGATAGTATTGAGAATAACTGAACATTCCTATCCATAAACATAGAATAATTCTCCACTTATTTAGATCTTTGATTTCTTTCATTAGAATTTTGTCATTTTCCTTAGGTAGATTCTGCATAGATTTATACTTAATAAAATGTTTAGGGTTATGGCACAGTGGATCAGGTATGGCGGCTCACTGAGTGGTCAGCGGTCTGAATTCACCAGTGAAATCACTGGAGAAAGATGAGTAACTTCAAGGTCCAGCTCTTCATTGTGGTGTATAGAAAAGTGACTGACTTTAGAGAGCAACCTTAGATCCTGCCTGCACCCTTGCTGTATTTGCTAATTGGTTTCAGGAGGATTTTTGGTTGAGTATTTTGAATTTCTCATCTAATTAGATCTTTGAAGAAAACTCTTTATCCTTCTCAACCAGTATAGCTTGTACTTCCCTTTCTTGTCCTACTGCATTATCTAGGACTTCTAGTACAATACTGAGTAGCAATAGTGAAGAAACATCTTTGTTAATGGTTCTTAGGGAAAAATAAGTATGGTGATAGCTGTAGGTTTTTAAAAAAATATTCTCATGAAATCAAGGAAATTCCTCTCTCTCACTAGTTTATTGGGAGTTTTTAGTATTAAGTGTTAGATTTTGTAAAGTGCCTTTTTGTATCTATATTCTGTATTGATACGTTCATAGAGGTTTTCTTAGTTGATTGGGGTGTTGTGCCATTGAGTTGGCTACATCCATAACGACTGTGTGAGCAATAGATCAGCACCTTGCCCTGTCCTGTGCCAGCTTCACCGGCACGTCCGAGAGCCCATGTTACAGTCACTGTGTCAGTCAATCTCCTTGACAGTCCTTTTTTCTTTCTCTGACCCTCCATCTAGCCAGTATGTTGTCTTTTCCCCAGGAATGGTCATTCTTGCCCGGAGTATGTGAGATGAAACTTCACAGTCCTTGCCTCTAAGGAGCACCTTGGTTCCACTTCTTCAAGTTAGATTTATTCTTTTGGCAGTTCATAGTGTATTCGTTATTCTTCTCCAACACAACTCAAAGGCATCAAGTCTTCTGTCATCCTTATTCATTGTCCATCTTTTAAGTGCATATGAAAATACCATAGCTTGGATCAAGTGCACCTTAGTCTTTAAACTGGTATCTTTGCTCATTAGTACTTTTTTCCCATTGTAGCACGTCTTTTGATTTTTTTTTTTTTTTTAGTTTTATTATTTTGTGTGTGTAACTGTCAAATCGGATCTGACGGTATAGGAGGAGATTGTCCCTTCTTCTCCAGCAGAGCATCTGGTGGATTCGAACCACACTCCTTTGGGATTGCAGTGCAACTTCTTGCCACGAGGCCACCAGCGCTCCCTACGTCTTTTGATTTCTTGACTGCTACTTCCATAGGTGTTGATTGTAGATCTAACTAAAATGAAGTTGTTGACTTCAGTCTTTAGTCAGTGTATCATGATGTTGCCTTTTGGTCTGGTGGTGAGGATTCCCATCCTGCCATCTTGAAATGTAATACACTTTGTAGTCTATGATCTTTTTCAGTAAGAGCTTCAAGTTTTCTTCACTTTTTACAAGTAAGGTTATGTCCTTTGTATACTGTAGATTGTGGATAAGTCTTCCTTTAATCCTAATGCCACATTCTTCATATAGTTATTTGTTCAGCATACAGATTGAATAGAGAAAGGATACAATTCTAACACTCACCTTTCATAATTTTAAACCATAACATTATTTTGCTTGAATAATTGCTTTTTGGTCTTTATATAGGCTTCACAAGAGCATAGTTAATGTCTAGTCCCTATTCTCAATAGTTTTTTCCTCAATATTTATTATAATTATTATGATCCATGTAATCAAATTCCTTTGCATAATAAGTAAAATACAAGTAAGCTTTTCTGGAATGTTTTGCTTCCAGCCAAGAACCATCTTATCTCAGCAATGATAAATCTTATTTAATGGTTGTTTTTTAATTCGGCTTGACTTTCTGTCAGTTCCCTTGCAGTGTACTTTTCCAGCTATTTTTAAATAGTCCACAATAAGAACTTACTTCCATGTGATAATTTCTGCTTTTTGTTGTATCGCTTATTTTTTTTAAATAAATAAATAGAAACAAATATGAATCTTTTCCGGTCTGACCAGGCAGTTGTCTTCCAGATTTTCTTGACAAAGGCTAGTGAGCACTTCCAAGATTGCATCTGTTTGTGGAAATACCTCAATTAATATTCGATCAGTTTCTGGGACCTTTTATTTTTTGGCCGGTGTCTTCATTAAAATTTGAATTTCTCCTTCGTTGGTTCTTTATAATATGCTCCTTCCTGAAATGTTTCAGTGCCAGCAGATTCTTTGTGGTACAGTCACTCTGTATTCCTTCCATCCTCTTTTGATGCTCCCTGCATCACTGAATATTTTGTCCATAGAATCCTTCAATATTTTATCTCGAGGCTTGAATTTTTCAGTTCTTTTCAACCTGAAGCTTGAGAAGTACTTAGCTTGTTCCCTTTTCGTTTTCCAGTTCCAGCTCTTTGCACATTTTTTAATAGCACCTTGCTTTGTCTTCTTGAGCTGCTTTTTGGAATCCTCAGTTCACTTCTCTTACTTTTTCATTCCTTTCCCATGTTTTGACTTCTGTACATTATTTTGCAAGGTTCAGAGTCTCTTTTGAGATCCACTTTGTAATGATCTTTAATTTTCTTCATGATCAGTGCCCTTTATATTATCCTATAACTAGTTTTAAGTCATTAGTGTTCAGTGCATCAAATCTATTCTTGATGATGGTTTTGAAATTCAGTTGGGATAGACTCAAGATTGTATTTTAATTCTGCTTTAGTTTGGTTTTTCACATGAGTAATTGATGATCTGTTTAACAGTCAGCCTCCCTGGCCTTGTTTAGATTCTGTTGACTCTGTCCACAGTTGTAGTCTGTCTGATAAGTGTAGGCCATCAGGTGTATAGTTGCTGTTTATTTTCTTTTAAAAGGTGTTTGCAATGAAAAAAAATCATTCATTATACAAAATTCTATCCTTTGATCTCCAGAAAAGCTATCAAAGGATTGATGATAGAATCCTTTTAAAATGTTGTATGCCAACGAAGAAGTTTATCTTTTGCTTTTCAAAGAGAGGAGTGAACTGGGGCGGGATAGAGAAAAAAGTGCAACAATAAATGAATGGAAATCTAAAATCTCTGTAAATGCTCATTAAAATTAATAAAATTAAAGTTGAACCTGATTTATATAACTGGATTAAATTACATAGATGTGATCTTAAATTATTTTAAATATGACTAGATTCAATTTGTTGCTTCCTTGTTAAGGAAGGACCTTTGCATCTCTGTTCACAAAGACTGTATTTTGAAGTTTTTCTTCTCAAAATTTTTTCCTGGTTTTTGTGTTGGAGTAATGCTGGTCTCATAGAATGGCTTAGGAAGTGTTCTTTTTATTTATTTATTTATTAAGCTTGTAAAGAACTTGTATCATTTCTTGCTTAAACTTTAGTAGAATTCAGTGACCATCTGTGCCTAGTGCTTTTTGTTTCGAGAGGTTATTAATTGTTGTTTCTGTTTCCTCATTAGATACAGGCCTACTTATCTCATGTTCCTTATGAGTTTTGATAAATTGTGGCTTGATTTTTTTAAAATTCTAATTTAACAGATTTGTGGTCATAAAGTTGTTCCTTATATTCCTGTGCTATCCTTCCTGACAGTGTCATGCTTAATAGATAGGTTATCAAAAAAGAAATGGAGTGACACTGACCATCACAGTGACTCAACAATACCTACCATCTTTTCTGAGATTGCTAATTTATCTTCACCCATTTTTTTGGTGGTTTGCATGGTTGATCTTTTCAAAGGACTAACTTTTGGCTTTGCTTTCATTGACTATTATTTCTTTTGCTTTACTTTGGATTTGGTAGTCCCCTAGGTTTTTAAAATAGAAACTTTGATTATTTAGATTTTTATTTTCTTATACATTTATTTCTACTAATTTTCTTATATGTACTGCTTTTGCAGAATCTCACAAAATTTTAAAAATTGTTTCATTTTCACTTTCAAATATTTTAAAGATTTCTCTGATCCGTGTGCTGTTTAGATGTATGATTTTTACTCTCCAAATATTTTGGTGTTTTCCAGCTGTCTTTCAGATTAGTCCTATTGTAGCCTGAGGGGGGAAATATATACTGTGTAATTCTTCTAAATTTGTTGTTCTGTGCTGTGGAGTTGCCTGGGACTCATAGCAACCCTATGTACAATAGTCTTAAACCCTGCTCTAGACTGTGCCAATTTTATTGTCTCTGACACACCTACCTCCATTACTCCAGTCAATGAATCAATCCATCTCATCCAGGGTCTTCCTCTCCTATGCTGTCCCTCCACCCTCCCCAGCATGATGTCCCTCTCCAAGGACTGGTCCCTCCTTGCAACATGCCCAAAGTATGTCAGATGAAGCTTCAGAATTCTTGTCTCCAAGGAGCAGCCTGACTTCACCCTCTCCAGGACAAACTTGTCCTAGCAGTCCATTCATTATTCTTCTCCGGAACCACAGCTCAGTGGCATCACCTCTCCTTCTATCATCCCTAGTCATTGTCCAGCTCTTTGATGCATAGCAAGTAATTGCAGAAACCATGGCCTGGATTAGACGCACCTTAGTCTCCAGACTGACATTGTTGCTCTTCAGTACTTTGGAGAAGTCTCTGATAGCAGACTTTCTCAAGGCAATTCGTCTTTTAATTTCCTGGCTGCTGGTACCAAGAGTGTTGACTGTAGAGCGAAGCAAATTAAAGCTGTGAGCAATCTCAATTTCTTCATCATCTATCATGATGCTGCCAATTTGCCCAGTGGTGAGAATCTTTGTTAGCTATGTTTTATGTCCTAGGATTTTCTTGGTGACTATGCTATGTGCTTAAGAAGAATATGCATTTTGCTGTTTTTGGAGCAAGTTATCCATAAATAGCCCAGATAGATTAGTTTGATAGGTCAGTTTAATTTATATCCTGATTTTGTTTCTGCTAAATATGTCATTTCTTGAGGCTATGGAAAGTTTCCAACTATATAAAAGATTTGTCGTTCCCTCCTTGCATTGCTATCAATTATTGGCTCACATATTTTGATACTCTTATGGGATATATACAAACTAAACATCATTACAGTTCAAGAATTTCTATGTGAAGGAACCCTGGTGGTGCAGTAGTTAAGTAGTTAAGTTAACCAACAGATCTGCCATTCAGACCCACATTTGGCTCCTTGGGAGAAAGATAGGGCAGTGTACGACCTTAAAGATTACAGCCTTAGAAACCCAATGGGGACGTGTCATGTTCTGTGGGGCTGCTTTATGGCACTTAAAAATAATTATGTAAGGGAGCTCTGGTGGCTTAGTGGCAAGAAGCTACACTGCAATCCCAGAGATACATGAGTCGAATCCACCAGATACTCTCTGCTGGAGGAGGGACAATCTCGTCTTGTACCAGTCAGATCCGATTTGACAGTACACACAAAAAATAATAACATTTAAAAAAAATTATGTAATCCCTCTCTTTAAGCCTGAAATAATTATTTTCAAGTCTGTCTTGCCTGAAATTAATAGGACTATTCTAGTTTGCTTTTCCTTAGTATTAGCATGGTCTTTCTCCACCCCATCATTTTTTTTTTTTTAAGAGTGTGTTTCTGTAGACAGCAGTCTATCATTTTTGGTAGATATATTTAGATCATGCATTGAAATGATTATTGGTGCAGCTGGGTTGGTATAGTTGGGTTAGTATCCACCATATGTGTAACTACTTTGTTATCCTTGTTCTTTGGTCTTCTCTCCTCAGCCTTCTCTTATTTTAATTGAACATGTTTTGACTACTTTCTCTCCTAAGTATATCAAATGTACTAAAACTCTTTATTAGTAGTTGCCCTGCAGTTTGCTGTATGCAAGTATCTAAATGCACTTTCACTCGACATTATACTGTTTCCCAGCTACTGCATGTACTTTAGCCTATTCCCAATTCCTCCATTCCACACCTATGTCAATGTTTGAGTATATAATTTAGTTCCTCTTTAAAGAATTTTTTTCTAATCATTTATTGCAAGACATTTCTCCTAGTCATTAATTTCTTCCATTTTAATCTGAAGAACTTTATTTGGCCTTCACTTTTGAAGGATACTCTCTCTAGATAACAGTTTTAGGCTTGTGGTTCGGTTATTCTAATACTGTATATGTTGTACTCCACTATTTTCACTTGCATGTAAAAAGTGTTTAGATTCATTTAATGTAATAATATCAAACATCCAAATCCTGTTTACTTTTGAAAGGTCTTTGTCCATTTTTCCAGACCACTATCATTAGTATTCATTGCCAGAATTAGGTTTTACCCCTTTCTCATTTAGGAAGCATGACAAAACAGGGGCTTTGAGGCTGACAGACAGGATTTTAATTCCAGCTCCACCACTTACTGGTTTAGAAATTTGAGCAAGTTAACCTCTCTAAGCCTGCTTCTTCATTCAAAATGAGGATAATAAACTAATTTCTCTCATGATCAGAATGAACATTTAACATCTGACAAAGAGCATACTTTTCAGTACACTGATTGGAAGCTTTTCATTACAACTTCACAGTAGTAAGAATTGATACCTGTACTAGTTAAGCTCAGGACATACTGATACCAAGAGATTCCTCACAAAAGAGGCTACAGCATCTACTTTTATAACTTCTCACTTTATCCCTGCTAAATTTCATATACTTACCACCAGATGCTACAAAGTGAGGAGACTTCTAGCACTTCCCAACTGAATGAATTAATGATGGCTTCTCAGACAACTTTACTCAGTCAAGAACCGCGAGAGAGAACTGCAGATGCAATTGAGCTTGCAGGAACATTCTTAATCAACTTAGAAGGTAAGAAGGAGAGTGACAAGTTTTGCACGCTGGAGAGTTGAATGGTATTATAGGTCATCTTGAATTTTCCTACGTTCTAAAGGCAGATAGAGGTAGTTCCCTAATTATAAACATGTTCTGTTCCTAAGTCTGATTTTAATTTTAAACTTAAGTTTAAAGAGTTGGGTATGATTCATATCTAATTGCCAAATGTTTTAGTGTACCTTCCCGGGTGTAAAAAACCAAACATTTTTAGATACATGGAAACATCTTTAATATCAGACAACAATAAAAATGTGATATGTGCCATAAAGTGGCATCTGTTTACTTTTAGAAACTAACTATATACCTCAAATATTTAATGCAGTGGGGTAGGCATTTATAACCCAGGGGTATAAGTGAAACATGTCTATTCATGGAAAAGGAGAGATAGTGGCCAAGTTTGAAGCCATCTCTCAAGTCCTGCTCAGTGATTTCTGGGAACAGAGGGTTAGAGGTAGTTTAATCTACGTGTAGTCTGACTCTTCTCTCATCTTCTTTGGTAATTGGTCCCCTAGTATTGATACTAAAATTTTCTGTTCCTCACAACCCAAAACTAAGTTATTATTAATCTAGCCTTCCTTAAGTGAGGGGTTAAGAAGTCTCATTGAACCAGTTCCCTCAGTGATACCTCATCAGGTATTTTACAGATGATTTGCTTCATTGACAATGGTTGTCAATCTGTAGAGGCATGCAAAAGATTAACAGAACAGCAAGCAGGTATTTTAAGAAAGGTGAAGTTGCTGTGCTCTACATAATACCTCAGGACAGCAGGTGGTAGGAGACTGGTCATTTCATATGTGAGGTTCACTAGCATTAAACAGTGTTCTGGCTTAACTTGCCCTTAAGAATGTTGTTAATGTACCTTCCCTTCACCCCCCGAACTCTAGAAAATAACTTACTTTCCTGATTGTATTTTAATATATGAGGTCTAAATAATAGTGGGAAAATTTGTTTCCTTTTTTATAAATTCAGTAGTTATTGCTTTAAGTTGGCTTTTATGGAAGTCTTTATCAGAAAGACACCTTCATTAGAGCTGAAAGGTCTACTCTGCATGAGCAGTTAAGAGTTCAATGACTTGTGGAAACATCAGTTAACAGAGTCTCAAGTTACCCAGTGCCTTTCATTTGCCAAATTGCACAATTCCATTATCTTGACTCTTATATAATGGGACAGATATGTACTTAACAAGCTTTACAAAGATAGGACAGAGAAGAAGGCTTTAAACAAGAGCCACCCCTGAGCCAACTAAGAATAAGTGATAAAAACGGAATGGCCTTTTCTAATGCATTTTTTTTTGTAGGTGGTGATATTCGTGAAGAGTCTTCATATAAAGTATTTGTCATGCCAACCACAAAAGAAAAATGCCCTCGTTGTTGGAAGTACACTGCTGAGTCTTCAGACACACTCTGCCCCCGTTGTGCAGAAGTTGTTGGTGGGAAGTAGGACCTTGAGTTTGTAATGACAGCTCTCTGAGCAAGAGTTTCTCCTCCAGTATGGACTAGGGATTTCAATGTGTTGTTTACAAACCTAGAAAGCAAGCTAAAATTTACATAATGAATGGAAGAGTAAATGATACAGGATCAAAGTAAAAATCGGAATTCAACAGGTAGTCCCAAGTAGGCTAGAGAAGCAATGAGTGTTAATACAAACATTATATATATATGCACAGAAGTATGTGTATATGTTTTTATATATAGAAAATATCTTCATTATGGACATATGCAGAACAAAATATTGAATATGCCTATCTTTAAATATGACTGACAGAAATGTTTAATATTTTATAAATCTTTTTGACAAAGTAATGTCTGAAAATAAAGACATCCTGGAATACACTAATGATGGTGTAAAAGTTCTGAATATCAAGTGAAAAACATAAGCTTTTGGTTTTGAAGGAGAATGGCATAAGAGATGAAGAATAATTTCATTCTGCCTTACTAAGAATCGTCAGCATTTTCAGAATACCTAGGTGTTCTAGTAGGATCAGAAAGAAAAACACAACATTTATTTTACCATAGGGGGAGGGAAATAATCTCAATATTGACAATTAAGCATGTTAAGAAAACAGTATGAAAGCAGAAAATTTATTTCACTAATTTCACAATAAACAGAAAATAGCAGTATATACAGAATTTCACTACTTACATTACAGTAGAAATAAAGCATTTTATAAACAATTCAGTATTAGATTAAAATCTTTGATGAATTCTATTCAACAGAAATATAACTTTGCAAGTCCAACAAAATCATATCTATCAGGTCAAAAGAGGGCTGTCCCTGTTACTCTAATGAACTTTAAAAATATTTGCCCTATAAATGAAATAGACTGCAACAACTTCTAAGTGTGTGTTTTACTAAACATTATACTCAACAGAAGCTTATTATTATTAAATCTGGCTTTTCTGTGTGTTTTTTTTAAGATGCAATAATTTCAATATAACAATGTTAATTTACTTTAGATTTTTTAAAATAACATATGGAATTTCTTTTATTATCTTTTTTTGTGTGTAAATCTGAGGCATTTAAAAGCTTGGTTCTGGTATATACATTTAATCTGGCCCCTTAGTTGTATACAACTTGAAGGAGTTATGAGTATCTATCTATATATTTTTCTTTTCCTTCAGTGTATTATATACAGAAATTAACAAGGTACTCATTCAAATGCATATTTAATGAAGAAAGGTGTATGTATAAGGACAAGAACATATCTAGTAAATACTACTGGGGCATAGTTTTAAGAAATCTGCTCTACATAAAATCTAATTCTTTTTACATGTGGCTTTGTTATAGAATGTATACATAAGTATTTTACTTTCTATTAATTAGTATATTACTTTCTGTTAAAAGCCCTTGATATTTGCTTCTTTTTTTACCATATAGTTCAGAATTCAATTTTTAAGTTTCTTTAAATTTTAGTATTTCTGCTGTAGACTCAGTGATTTATGTCATCATTCTATGAGCCTTATTTCAGCTCATTAATATTCTTAGAATTCAAGTGAAGGTTTACGATTTAGAAATACCTATAATTCTCTATTTTCCTTTACCAGCCTCAAACACACTCTTATTACAGGAAGAACTAATTTCTTAGGACACATATAACAAGTGACTTTTCATACAAAGCTAGATAAGCTTATAAAAAAAACATATAAATGTGAGTGGGACAGTGGGGCCAAGCAGAGGCTGGGAGGATGGACTAATTTGGGCCCTTTCAATGCTGCTCCCAGTCAGAATGTGCACCTCAAATCTGACACACAGACTCCACCTTACAAGCTATGCTTCAAGATAGCTCCAAGAGTTATCTTACAGGGTTTATAATAATAAGTTTTAGCAAGGTTAAGCTCTTTATTTAAATGTAATATCTCAATTAAAAAGAATTCACATTAGTATATCCCTAAACATTCACATTTTTTCTGAATATCCCTGAAGGCAATACTCAACTTTGTAAACTGGGAAAACTGGTTTCCTACAAGGAAGTAAAGGAACAAACTTCTGTATCAAAATGAATTACGGTGAGTAACAGTTGTGACCTATGACATACCAGTAATTGTACTATATGGCTGTAATCCAAAGGTATACTGTAACAAAAATTGCTTGTAGAGCGCAAAGCATTTTTAAAGAGTTTGGTTAATTTAATTTTAATGGACAACTATTTACTCAGCACTTGAATGCTCTAGGCACTGTGGGGTAAAAATTAGTTGTATTTTATCCTCTCAATTCAGCTGTGAGGTAGGTGTACTAAAGTGGTAATAGGACTAAGATCTTCTGGACCTTTCCTTAGGACATATAACCAAATACCACAGCAGTTACTTCTGAATACATGTAGGAAAAATAAAGTTAGATTCAAGATTTTTGGCATCTGCCCCCCTTTTTTTTTACACAAATTTTACAAGATAATACATTTTTACAGTTGCCTGATGGCGTTGGATACAGCTTTGAACCTTGCCTGAAAAAGCAAGTCCTACATTATAAAGAATTTGCTGTTGGTCCTCTATCTCAGAGACTCGATTCTGCCGAGTACAGCAGATTAAGGGTTCTTTCTAGTGTCCCACTGATGAGTATGATGATCTTGGAAGCCAATATTTCTCCACAAGCAAGACATTCCTCCTCTGATGGCAACAGCATACCTCTGGGAAAGGAACCTGTCAGCATCCAGGACTCCTACGCAGAAGCCCAGCAAGGCAGTAAGCATAATCCAAGCATTTCCCAACACTTACTAAAGGAAAGGAGGGTGTTTCTCCAACTTGACTAATGTATGGGCTGGTGGCCAAGTTGAACACAGGTCAATTTAATTACAACATTTTGAGTATGAAATATATAATTTTAAAATAAGAACATAATATAATATTGTAAGAACATAATTTGTAAGTTATAACCAACTTTATATACAGCAAAAGTCAAGAATAAAAGTGAATTAGAAATAAAATCATCTGATTAATTATTAGGACATAATTGATACTTGTTTATATTTTATCCTCAATATGAAGGAAAGAAGTGGGATTTAAGCCAGGATTACATTTTTTAAAAGTAATATACAATTTTATTTTACAAATAGAACATACTCCCTCCATACAATTCCAGATCTTATTATGTAAAATAACCATGCACTAATTCACGTTATAATCACAATTTGAAGAGTATTATCATTAACCAGGAAGTTAAGTGTCATGAAATAGGAATAGAAATGGCTTCCACAGCTTCAACAAGGTGTAAGGCTAAATTATACTGCCCGTGGTTTTCTGGTAAAAGCTCAATTACTTTATTTACTAGTTTAGCTGTTGTTGCAATTGGCACTGAAGTATTTTGAAGACCGTGAGTGTCCTGTAAATGGACAGAAAAACAATCCATGTTACATAAAAACCAGACAATAACTTACTTACCAGTTATTTTCCAGTAAAAGTGGTTTTAAGATAATGTAAGTGAAATATGAGAGCTTCCTCTTAACTGTTAAGTGCATGTACGGAAGCAGTAACTTCCCACCTAGCTCAACCCATTGTCCTTACCATTGCTTTGAGCCAGGTACAGAGTGTGGGTGAAAGCCTGGCAAGCAGCTCCAGCCCTTGTTTTGTCTGGCTGTGGAAGAGGACATAAGCCAGCCTCTGCCCTATCAACACAAGCAGCTGAGAGGCAAGGACTTCTTTATCTTGAACCTGCAGAATGGCCTGAGGATAGCAACGGAAATAAAGTTAAAATCCAGTAGGTACATTCGTACTAAAGCTACTAGTAAGTTTTGCCAGTGAAGAGATTCTAGTTCATTTTTCAGCTGTGGTAACCAAAGTAAATTCCAAATCAAACTTTGTATTTAAAACCAAATTTCGACTATCTGTTGAATTGTTCAAGTTTCTGACAAAGATGTTTTGAGATCATGTCATCGCTGCTCAAATAGCATCTGGAGAGATTTTGGATAAGGGGGGCTAGGAAATATTCTAGCCTGCCCACTTCATCTCCTACTTTAGACCCTTGCTTATTATATAGTCAGCCACACTGGCCCTGGGTGGCACTGGGTCTTGGACCTTGTCAAATTAGATCCCCACCTCAAGGCTTTGGTACTTGTCACTGACTTTGTCTCAAGCACCAGTCTCCCAGCTTTCTGATTGGCTGGCTGCTTGTTATCCACGGCTGATCCATTCTCCTGGGATTCATCCATGTAGTTGCAGTTGAATGCCTTCAAGTCATCTCTGAATCATAAGCAACCTCTGTGTAATAAAGTGTAACAGAAAGAGTGCCCAGTCCTGTGCCATTCAGTCAAGTCATGCCTGTGCTTAAGCCCACTGTTCTAGACACTATCAGGCCATCTTATCGAGGGTCTTCCTCTTCTTCATTGACTCCCTACTTTCCTAAGCATAACGTCCTTCTCCAGGAACAAGGCCCTCCTGAAAGCATGCTCAAAGTATGAGAGACTATACTTTTTTCAAGACACATTCCCCCCGCTTCCCTTATTCTTGGCAGTCCATGGAATAATAATTCTTCACCAGTAACAATTCAAAAACACCAACTGTTTGGTCTTTACTCAGGCCAACTTTCATGTACATACTAAGCAACTGAAAATGTCATGGGTTGGGGTCCGGTGCATTTTAGTTCTTAAATGTAACATCCTTGCTCTTCAGTACTCTGGAGAGGCCCATGGCAGCAGATGTACCCAGTGGAATACATGACTTGATTTTCAGACTGCTGCTTCTATAGGTGTTGACTGTGGATCAAAGTAAAAAACTAAATCCTTGACAACTTCAGTCTTTTCTCCATTTACTTTTCTCTGAGTCCGCTGGAAGGATTTTTGTCTCCTGTGTTGAGGTGTAAAGCTACAGAAGCCTATATAGTCTTTAAATTTTATCACTAAATCTTCATTTTCTGCAAATGTTCTATCATCTTCTCCAATCCTCATACCCCATTATTCTTCATCCAGTTTCTTGAATTATTCGCTCAGTATACATTTTGAATAGATATGGTGAAAGTATACAAGCTTGATACACAACCTTTCCTGATTTTAAACCATGTAGTACTGCCTTGTTCTGTTTCAATCACTGCTTCTTCATCTGTGGATGAGTTTCCCATGAGCATGATTAAAAGTTCTGGAATTATCATTCTTTTCAATCATTATCTATACTTACTATGATCTACACAGTCAAATGCCTTTGCAAAGTTAATAAAACATAATTAAACTTCCAGTATTCTGTGCTTGTAGCTAAAATTGTTAACCAGCAATGATATCCCTAGTTCCAGAGGTGCTTCTGAACCCAGCTTGAATTTCTGGCAGTTCCTTATAGTTATTATGTGTTGTTAAATCAACTCTGACTAATAGCAACCCTAAGAACAATGGATGACTGAACACTACCCTATCCTGTGCCGTCCTCATCATCTCTATATAGTTGAGCCCTTTGTCATTATCACTGTCAGCTCATCTCACTGAGGATCTTCCTCTCTTCCTGACCCTCTACTTTTCCAAGCATGATATCCTTTCCCAAGAACCTCTTAACAACATGCTTAGAATAGGTGAGATGGCGTTTCACCATCCTTGCCTATAAGGAGCATCGTGATTGCACTTTCTATAAGACATATTTGTTTGTTTTGGTACTCTATGGGGTATTCAGAGTCTTCTCTTACACCACAACTCAAAGACACTGATGATTCTTTTGTCATCTTCAGTCACTGTCCAACTTTCAGCTGTGTAAATGAAAAGACTATGGCTTGAATCTGATGTACCTTAGTTTTTGAAGTGTCATGACTGTTCTTTAACGACTTAATGAGATCTCTGACAGCAGATTTACCTAATGCAAGATGTCTTTTGATTTGAGTGATGGTACCAAAGGTGTTGACTGTGAATCCAGGTAAGATGAAACTCTTGGCAATTTCAATCTTTCCTCCATCAGTGATACTGCTGCCTCTTGGCCCAGAGGTGAGGATTTTGGTTTTGTTGATTTTGAGATGCAATCCATATTGAAGGCTGTTGTCATTAATCTTCTACAGTAAGCATTTCAAGTCTTCTTTGCTTTTAGCAAGCAAGGTTGTGTCATCTGCATACTGCAGGTTGTTGATGAGTCTTCCTTCGATAAAGTCCAGCTACTTGAATGATTTGTTCAGCATACAGACTGAGTAGCTATGTAGAAAAGATACACTCCTGCCCACAATTTTCCTGATTTTAAACTAGGCAGTGTTATCTTGCTCTATCGGTTCTTTTTATTCATATCATCCTATATATTTTCTTCATTTATTACTCACTATAAAAGTTCTGCCCCTCCTATTAGAGCATCAGTTCTGTAGGAAAAGGGAAGGGGGAGCCTTGACTATATTGATAGCTCTTTTTGAAGACTAAGGGGCACCGGACACAAATCATAATTTTTTTTCAATCTCCACATATGCATTTGAAATTTGGATAATGAACAGAAAGCCTGAACATATATACCTTGTAAGTGTGATGTTGGTGAAGAAAATGGAATGTATCATGGATTTCCAAAGAACAAGAATGCCAGTTTTAGAAAGTGCATTCAGATCCCTGGGCAAAGACATCATGCTTGGTAGACTATAGAGGGTCACTGACAGAGGACGATCTTCAGAGACATGGCCTGACAGAGTGACTAGAATAATTTAAGCAGAGGCTTTCTATGAGAATGGTGCAAGACTGGGTACATAGGGTTGCTATGAATCAGAGATGACTCAACAGCAGTGCACAGAACAGTCCTGTAGGAGTTTAGTAAGCATGGCCCAAAATAGGAATCTGGCTACAATTTTAGATGTTAATATTTTGCTCTATCTTTATACTTAAAGGTTTGTAACAAGATAATCACTTTTATAACTTGAGGCCATTTAACATTCACAGGGTCATTATTACCTCTTCTCCTAAGTGGTCAACTCCGTAGCTGTAGAGTTCTCCCACATAATGTCGTCTGATAACATCTTCATTAACTTGAAGGTGATGAGCTAGATCCACTGCTAGAACTGACCAGTTATAGTCTCTCTCAAAAAGAGTGGCTAGTGTCTCTTCTGAGGAATCTCTGCTCTTTGCAACAGAATGCTGGGCCTGGACGGCTGCACTAACAACTTTCAACAGAAACTTGGAAAGAGAGAGAAAGATAAAGCAATGTTTTGTTAGTGTTTTCCTTTAAAAACATGTAAAAGTAACTGTGCCTCATCTGTCAATTAGAATGGCTTATATACTAAGTTGTTTTCATTATTAAAGCAGGAAACCAGTTTCCAAGAATGCCTTGAATGTGGCCATCCTTAAGGACAGCCACATTTTTGCTTTAGTATTTTTTTCAAGAAATAAAGTAATAACTAATTTACCTGCTGCCGCACAGAAATAAAATTTGGATCCATTTCCCCACTAGGTAATAACTGAATTGACGTTAGGTCTTTGAAAAATGCATTTTTCCCCTAAAGATAAAGAAGAGATTAAAAAAAATAGTGATACATACAGAATATTGAGGGAGGATTAAAAGCTAAGTCATTTTATCAAGAATAATTCATGATTGATCTTGCATTCCCCCGCCCCAATAACATTTTGGCACTTTACTCATTTAGCTTTGAAAATTATCCAGTACGTGGCAGATGCCCTCCTACCATATGCCTTATATGAGCCCTTGCCCTTGAATGTGGGCTCCTGATGACATTCTAACACAGAACCAGGCTGAGCTAAGAGCCTGTCACTTCTCAGACTATGGTACAAGAAGGGATGGGGCTTCCACTTTGCATGGTCACGGTTACTTTCTCATTCAGAGAAATCAGCTACCATAGTGTGAACTGTCCCAAAAGATGGCCTTATAGCAAGAAATGCAATCTGGCTAACAGCCTGTAAGTTTGAGAGTGAACAATCCCATGCCAGTTGAACCTTCAGGCAGCACTGCTTTCTTGGCCAGCACCCTAACTGCAACTTTATGAGAAGATCTAAGCCAGAATCACCTTGATGAGGGAACCAGAAAGCAGGCTTGACAAGGAAAATTGTTAGGTAATGCATGCTTATTAAGCCACCAAGTTTGGGAATAATTTGTTACTCACTAATAATGAATATAATGAATACATATACTCTGAATTGTTTAAAAAAACACCACTGCATTTGGAAGTACTTTGAGAATTTATCTGAAAAATCAAAAGAGACTATCAGAAAAGAGGTTTTCAGGACTTTCTGGAGAGAGAAAAGAACGCTGGCCTTCTGAGTGGAAGGTCCAGGCTCAATTCTCAGGTCCACAGGTTACCTTTTGGAAATGACCTAGCCATTCTGGGATTCTGTTTTCTCGCCTGCAAACAAGAAATCCCAAATATTTTAAACAAACTTTCTATACGTAGTCAATTATAACTAGATCATCTATTGGGCATGCTCCGTAGAGTAAAGCTAGTCATGATCCAGTGATGAGAAACTACAGATGGGTCAAACTGTTAGGTTCTGGACGTTATTGTTTGAAACTTTTCACCACACACTCACAATATAATTACACTGTGGTTTCCAACTTTTGGTTTTAGATTTAAGAATCTATTCTGCATGAGGGTATTTGGTTGTGGGGATGTTTATATGCAATGAATACAGTCATTTATTATTTCTTGTGGTCCCGATGCGGCTATGTAGTTTATGCTGAGTACCTCATTTAACTCTCACAACAACTTCATAACGCAGGCATAAGAATGCAAAAACTGAGGTCTGAGCAGCAAACATCCAGTAGTAAATGACGGAAGCTTGGATTCTGTTTCATCAGCCACCAAATCAACAGAACAACTAAGCTGATTGCAACTCCTGGTCGTGTGTGCCAGCAGGGCTATGTACTGTGTGCTCTAGAGTGTTTTCCATGGTTAGTTTTTTAGAAACAGACTGCCAAGCCTTTCTTCCAAGATGCCTCTCTACTACCTGTTGATTAGCAGCACCTCACATTAACGGCACCACCCAGGACTCTCACTAAACCACACTTCTGCTCTATTTACCGAAAGAGTCCTGCAGCTGTCTCAGGTCATCTTGGCATGATAAGGATTGAGACTACTATCACATTGTGATTATCCAATTCTGACTGCATTCTGGTTCCACTTCCAACCTCAGGATGCTATTGAGAGTAGAGAATTGCACACTCAGGGACTGTCCCGACAGGAGCAGAACTGACAGTGCTCAACTTCAGATTCACCTGTCCATGCTGAGGGGGTGACAGGCACAGGGCAGTGAACCAACTGTGTTTTTGAAGGCAGTACTAAACAAGGTATTTGGGTTTTTCTGCTGTTTTAAAAACGATTTCTTCAATCTCAAATGAAAAAAAGTTTATTTGAAATTTATATTCATAAATGCAATTACTGAATGTTACAAGGAAGATTAAAATTGGTTATCAGGTTTTTAGTTTAATTTTAAGAAAGAAATTGTAGAGATTTCCATGTTAAACACCACTTATTAGAAACAAGTATCTTGGTATTTTTTTCCATTTGTTACTTCCAGAGACTGACCTATCTCAGATTATCTGTCTCTGAGACTTATATTTTCTCATAAATATATCTTTTTTCCAACCTTAAAAAAAAACCACCAAAACCAACAAGTACCTTAAAAAATACATTATGTCTATTTAGATACAACATTTATCTACACAAACAATATGTTAAAAATCTTGCTAAAAGGCATGTCCCTTTCCCTACTCTTGAAATTGGATTTCATTTTAACGCCCATCTTCTCCAGCTTCATACCACTTTGTCATTAGATTAACGATGACTCTGAATCCCATTACCCTCCTGCTCCTAGTATAAGTCTTCCCCGCTCTTGACGGGCAGGCGTCCCTAACTCTGCTACTCACTGTCTCCTCCCATCTACTTAGCAGCTACGGAACTTTTCTCAAACACTTGCTTCCTTAGTTATTAATACACTGAACATTTACTAAACTTGTATGCTTTGCTAGGTATGAAAACAATGAGAACATAGGCAAAGGTGACAAATTTAGTCTAAAGAAGCGTAAACAGTTTGGCAAGAGGATGACAGTTAAGTGATACCTGAAAAAGAAATAGGATCCAGCTTGAAACAATGGAATTAACACAAATATAGTAAGTGACAGGGTCTTTCAATGAGAGATGGAGAGTGGTTAACAGTGACCACAGCTCAAGAAGTCAAGCCAGCAGCAGCTTATGATATGGCAGGCTAGAGAAGGTGTGGATGAGGAGAAAGCTCTGCCCTTATGTGCTCACGCACTTGCTCTATTAGAAGACCAGTGCAAGTCTCTTGCTGCAGCCTCACTCACTCCTCCCCGGAGGGTCTGGTGAGTCTGCAAGTGCTGAGCATTCTCAGCTCTGCCTCTTCCATCCCCTCTTGAGGGGGGCAGTGTTCCCTCAGGGGGAGCCTGCAGCTGTGCCATGTGCCTGTGCTCATGTGCATTTTCTTTTTTTTTTTTTTTTCAAGGGCAAGAGGGAATTTATTTCAGATTCGAATCCGGGCCGCGTTCCAAACCATGCCCATACAACAGGGAAGATGGCCGCGGCCGCTCATGTGCATTTTCGTCCACAGATGTGAGACAAGCTAAAGCAAGCTTTCATCAGTATTTGTCTTATTCAGAACTTCTGAGGTTCTGATACTCTTTTTTTTACAGCAGCCATGTTCTTATGGTCTTTCATTCTGCAGAGGTGCCAAAAAAGTCAAGCATGGATTTAAAATGATGAGCTCTGTGTTTGGGAAAAAGCTCCGATAGCCTAAGACCAGGCAGACATAAATTATGTGACTAGGAAGGCGCCTTTTCTAACAGCCAAAGGAAAGATGAAGAGGTTCAATTAAAGTTATGGAGAAGAACTGACAGATTTGAGCCTAAGGAAGAAGTCTGAATTTGTAATGAATGTAGGCTTTAAGCAGGGAACTGAGCCAAGCAATATCAAGGTTTGGAGGCTGCCTGGAACACTGCACAAGTGATGGCAACTAACAAAGATGGGAAATCAAGAGGAACAGCAGATACAGAACAAGAGCAAGGTGTGAAAATGTGTTTTAGATGAGAAATAATCCACAGTCCAAAGGGATGTCCCATACTGAGAGACAGTCAATAGTCATATCCAGATCATCACGGAGAAATATGTGCCCCAACCTCTGGGCCTAGGTGAGACCTGAAAACAAAGGGTGATTATGTGACAATAAATGTGTATTTTTTTTAAGTGAACTGCTGGGTTAGGCTTGGGAGGAAAACGAGCAACAATGAATGAATGAATGGAAATCCAAGTTTTCTGTAAAATTTTGTTAAAAATAACAATAAAAATGATTTTAAAAAACAAGAAAACAGATGAAGTAAAGATACACTAGTAAGAGAATACAGAGAGAAAAGAGTAGCTAATTGAGGGGCCAAAACTCTTTGGAACATCAGTATTTAAAAATAAACCAGAAGAGAAGAAGAAGACATGAATAGAGTGTGACAGATAATAAGGGAACAAAGAATCCCACAAGAAAACTTCTATACAAGTCACAGAAGCACTGAATCACTGCTTCAAATAAAACAAGACACTCTTTGGTGAAAGCTGCAGCTCTGAACCCTTCATGGTGCTTACCTTACTATCAAAAAGTGAAAGTGGCTTCACAGTCTTCAGAGCAAACCTCATGATCGCATACAAGACCCAGCACAGGATGGAGTGGTGCTCCACCAGCGGGTAGTGGATGTGTTTCTGCTCAAGGGCCAGTTCCACTATTGAGATTGGTCCTTCCACAGAGAGCCAGGCATCCTCAGTGTCCAAGATGGGCATTTGCATTTCATCTCTGCTCACATCTGCCTAAGGGTTTCAAGCATGAAGAGTGTGCTCAAAACTGCAGAAATAATAGCTTGTAGTTTACCAGGAGCAAAGTGCAGACCACATATATCTTATACTGAATTATAACAAAACACATAAACTTATCTAGTAAGAAACTTGCTATTTTGAATCTTAAGTAAAAATAGTCTTTCCTTTGGAAAAAAAAAATCTCTTTACCTCCATTAAGGTCTGAAGAAGATTCAAGCAGGAGCCGAGGAAAGATGTCATTGCTGTGTCACTCATCCCCACATCCTGTTTTTAACAAGGAACATAATAACTCCATGATGATACTTCTGTAGTTAACCACAATAAAAACAAAACACCATAATACACTACAATGAAGGAAAAAGGCTTGAATTTGAGAGTCAATCCATTAGTACATATTGTTTCCTTTGGATTTATATAGAACCAATTATGAAATTAGGCTTTAAAAAGAGCAGCACTCCTACCAACTTCTAAAAATGAGGGTTTTCTGTGTACTGGTGGGGGCAGACAGAATCTCATCAGTTATTCAAGACTGGAGCCCTCCTGAGGGAGGACCCAGTGTCCAGCATGCAAAGGCACTATTAACCACATCATCAGGGTAGACAATAAGAACCTAGAAAGTCTGAAAAAAACTTAGCCTTGTCTGGTTTAACAAGTTTTGAGGGACTAAGCTGGGGCCACCTGAACAAAGCTAGGATAAACTCAAAACTCTTTGTGGTCCCTCAGCCTCTCAGTGAACTACATACAGACAACTGCAACTTTGTTCTAGCTGATGCAAGAGGCTCATCATCAAGGGAATTATGATATTCATGTACACTTTGTGTAACTAGTCACCAGTAAGTTCTTTGCATTTCCCAAGCGACTAAATGACCTAATTAATTGGGTATGTGCAAATACATATGTATGGTGGGTTTTGGAGGCTCTAAATCAGACAGGAGAAAACTGCCCATTCTCCCCCCTCGGATCCACTGGTGGATTCAAACCAGAGAAGCGCCACCTTTGGGCTGACAGCACAACTCCTTCCAGGCAATGCCACCAGAGCTCCTGGGGCTACAGTTTACATATGCACATCTGCATATCGGTACGTGTGTGTATGTATGCGTGCTGCAGCCAAACATTATCAACAACATAGATGAAGAATTCCTTAGAAAATGATTTTCATCAGACTGGCTTTGACAAGCACTGTGGCAACTGGACAATTAAAACAGACTTTCAAGGGGGGAAAAAAAGAGGAACGAACTGGGGAGGGTAGAGAAAATAGTGAAACAATGAATGAATGGAAACCCAAAATCTCTGTAAATGTTCATTAAAGTTAAAAAATTTCATTAAAAAAAAAAAATAAAATTTTCAGGACTGTGGTTCAGGAATAGCAAGAATCATGAATTCTAACAACTCTTAGGATCTCTGAAACAAGAACACTTCAGAGTTCTGAGCAAAAGCTAACACTGGACCTCGATTACCAGTCACAGGACATTACTGAAGATTAATGCCCTGTTTGTACAATGGTAATATGCAGTAATGGTAGCTTCTTACTCCGCCGTTCATAGTCCAAAGTTGAGCACATCTTGTGAAAGCATAATTTGAACATGCTGACAATTTAGAGAAGTAAATTAAAATTGGTCATAGTTCATGACCAATTTCCTTACTACAGTTATTCTCTTTCCATTTTTTTATTATGCCATCAAATAGTAAAAGGCGAAGTTTACCCCTCAATTCTTAAGTCCTATAAAAAGTGCATATCTGATTTATACTTTCCAGTTCAGGGAAAGTTACTTACCCTTCGGCATAACCGATCCTTTGGTGATTTTCCAACCTTAGACAGAAAGACATAAAATCTTTAGTATTATTATTTTTAAATGAAAAAGTCATTACTATGGTACATGAAGTAAAAATAAGCACACTTAAATACCAAAGCTATAAATAATTGTAGTACATTTTAACCTATTATCTGTTAGTTCAATGAGTGTTACAGTATTTTGAATAATACAGCACAATTTTATAGCAGAGCAGAAAAATACACCAAATATACCAAAAGGAGACATTAAATGCCTAAGCCCCAAATAATCCTTTTCAAAAATGAACTGTTCTGAATTATTAAAAGTTCTACAGATTCTCTAAAAATCTAACCCATCCTTTGTACAATCAAGTAACTGTTGAAAGATTAAAGTTTTTACAAATTCTCTAAAAACCCTTAGCTTGTACAATCAAGTAATAGTGCTGTCATAAAGCCCACAATTATATTCAATGTTACTAAAAGAAAAACTTATATTGGAGAAGAGTACTGACTATTCCATGGGCTGCCAAAAGAATAAACAATTATGTCTTTTAAAGAAGTGCAACTGGCGTGTTCCTTAGAGGAAAGATGGTAAAACTTCATCTAACATACTTTGGACTTCATGTCAGGAAAGGCAAGTCCTTGGAAAAATACATCCTGGGAAATGTGACTGTTGTGAGGAGTCATTAAGTTGAGCGTGACTCATGGTGACCCTATGAACAATCTGAACTCTGTCGTATCCGGTGCCAACCTCACAATCTGACCCACTCAAGCCCATGGCAATGCGCCTTTTAATTTCTTGGTTGCTGGTGCCAAGACTGTTGACTATGGAGCCAAGGAAACTAAAGCTGTGTACAATCTCAGTCTCTTCACCATCCATCCTGATGCTGCCAATTGGTCCAGTGGTGAGAATCTTTGTCTTTCTTTCTTTCCTTCCTTCCTTCCTTTCTCTTTCTCTCTCTCTCTCTATTTTGTGTGTGTGTGTACTGTCAAATCAGATCTGACTGGGACAGGAGGAGACTGCCCCTCCTTCCCCGGCAAAGCATCTGGTGGATTCGAACCGCGCACCTCTGGGATTGAATCTTTGTCTTCTTGACATTGAGCCTCAATCCCCATCGGAGGCTGCAGTCCTTGACCCTCTGCAGCAGGTGCTTCAGGTCCTCTTCAGTTTCAGCAAGCAGGGTTGTGTCATCCGCATAACGCAGATTGTTGATAATTCGTCCACCAATCTTGACCCCACATTTCTCCTCATCGAGCCCAGCCTCCCGGATAATGTTTTGCATATAGGTTGAAAAGGTATGGAGATAGGATGCATCCCTGGCGTATGCCCTTCCCAATTTTGAACCATGCAGTGTTCCCTTGCTCTGTTCTGACAACTGCCTCCTGGTCCAAGTATAGGTTTTGCATTAGAACAATCAAGTGTTCTGGGATTCCCATTCTTCTCAGAGTCAGCCATAGTTTGTTATGATCCACACAGTCGAACGCCTTTGCATAGTCAATGAAACACAGATAGACATTCCTCTGGTATTCCCTGCTTTCAGCTAAGATCCATCTAACATCAGCTACAATATCCCTAGTACCACGACCCCTTCAGCCTGGACTTCTGGTTGTTCTCTGCTGATGTCCTGTTCCAGTCGTTTTTGGATAATCTTCAGTAAAATCCAGATCCTCTAAGTGTTTTAAAAGTTATTTCTACAATAATGGTCTTATACAGTATTTGTCCTTATGGGACAGAGTTAGTTCACTTAGCATAATGTTCTCCAGTCCCTCCTAAATTAGGCAGTAATTTACAAAATCATTGTTCCTGATGCTGCATAGTATTAAACTGTATCAATGTATCATAATATCTCCATTCATTCATTTAAGAAGGAAAAACAACTGAAAGCAGATAGGAGTTATACTCTATGCTCAAAAAAGATGCTGATTTCATACTCTGTCTACTTTAAGAACTAGCAAGCAGAAGGTAAAAAGTGCTGTCCTTCAGAAAGAACTACTCAGTGAAACAACAGATTCACAGAAGAATGGCAGTGAAAGAAGGGGCCCCAGGACAAAACTCACTACCTCATTACATCTCACTGAGATTATAACACTGGTCTTCAAACAGACAAGCTCTGACTACCTATTCCAACCTATTTTATACCATTGTCAGAATCACCTCTTTAAATCTAAGTCTGAACACACCATTCCTCTGCTTACAACTTCCAGTGTCTTTAGGATGAAATAACAGCTACCATTTACTAAGCCTTTACTATATGTGCCAGGGCCTATGTAAGCAGTTTACATGTATAAATATAAAATATAAAATCTGAATTCTACAACCTACACAGAAATTCTTCAGGTGTACTTTTCCTTTCCTGCTGCCTATGCCTGGTAAAGAGCTGTACTGTGATCCCAAAGGCAAGTAGTTCGAATCCACCAGTTCCTCTGTGGTAGAAGGAAGGGCAGTCTCTGAAAACACACTGGAGGGTCAGCTATAGTATGGGGTTGGTTCTGACTTGATGGAATATACAACCAACCACACAATCCAACCATGGTTACGTTGACATAGGATAGGACAAGGTTCAGATCTGTTGCTCATAAGGTGACTATGAGTCCATACTCAACTAGACGGGCACCTAACAATAACAACAACATCCTCCAATCACACTCAACTTGCATTTATGTGAAGCCAATGAGCTGCGTCTTATCTCCAGGATATGTCAGTGAACTAAGTTTCCTCACTTCTACTTTTTTGCTAGTTTATTTGGACTCAACCTTCAAAATTGAGCTCCAAAGTCTTTCTTTGGCTTGTTAGGTAAACTTTCTTTTCTTGGTTACACTCTGTTGTCCTTCGACTGTGGCAGGGACTTTCTTTGGCTTTTATCTCTGCAGCCCTAAAAGACTCTAGGTGAGTCTTTAGTATTTGAAAGAAACTGATTGTAATAAATACTAAATGATCATAAGCCCTCTGGCTCCTCAGTTCAGGGCTGTTTCACTTCTGTCCTGTAAGGATCAACTATACAGTCAGTGGATGGATGAGTGAATACTGTGCAACTGTAAACACGAATGGACACACAACTTAATTATTTCATTATTCTATATAGAGAGGTAATCAGAGATGAAGTAGACTAGAATAATATAAATATATAGAATGAGTTTTTTTAAAAAGCAAAATGAGCCAGAAAGGTAAACACATAAGAAAAGATTTAACTAGAAAAACTGTTACTAGAGATCTCAAAGTAAGCAATTGCAAGGGGAACTATGGCCTAAAGTGGATCAAAGTTGTTCTGTTACATCCTGCTAGCTACGGCTTAGGAAGTGCTGTCATTTGAAACAGAAAATAGGCTGTCAATGTAATGGTAGTTCTAACTGATACCACTTTGTGGATTTGCCAGATTAACCTACATTCTCAACTGGTCTATAAAACAAATGGGCTCCAGTGTATCAGAGATGGTGATGATGGTGCACGAGAAGGCAAGGTTCCGATCTGCTGTTCCTAAGAGTCACTACAGGCAACTCGATCGCACCTAGCAATAAGGAAGTTTGAAATTTTTTTCTTTTTTTGGGGGGGGGATGTATGTTTTTCCTAAGATGATACTCTAGCAGCCTCTGGTCCCACTAGCTGTTTACGTTTTACATTGTTGTATTCCACTGAGTCAGAAATGACACGTTTTCAGAGGTAGGAAATCACACAGGAGGAGACTGCCTATCCTCCTTTGGAGCAGCTGGTGGATTAGAAGTACACGCCTTTGGCTGGCAGTGCAACTCCTTACTACTAACATAAGTAAAATTTAATATAAAGTTAAAAAGCCTAATATGGTCCAATGTTAATAAGCTTCGTATTTTCAGTCAAGGGAGCTCTGGTGGTTAGCATTAAGTACTTGCCCTGTCAACTCAAAGGCAGGTGGGTAGAATCCACCAACTGCTTCACAGAAAGACAGGCATTATCCTCTTGTGCAATTTACTGCCTCTGGAGGGTCAGCTATGAGTCAGTACCAACTCTATTAGTCAACTAATTAAGGGACAAGAAGCAAACAGGCATATAGTACAGAAAATTTCCTATTACCTTACCTTGTCCATCAAGTATGTAGCAGCAGAAAATCTTTTAACTAAGAATGTATTCCACATCATCAGCACAATGCCTACACAGTAAGTAAAAAGCAAAGTTAGTAAAATAAATGCTTATGTCTTTTTACTTTCATGATACATAACAAATTAGATTATACTTAAGGTTATAAAAGACATAGACCCCCCCCACCATCAACAAGTGAATGGATACAGAAGCTGTGGTATGTTCACACAATGGAATACCTATGCTGCACTGAAAAACAAGGAACTCATGCAATATTATTCAAAATGGGTGACCCTGGAGGACATTATGCTGAGTGAAGTATCTCAGTCACAAAAGGACAAATACTGCATGGTGCCACTGTTGTAAAACAGGACTGACCTTGGGGTTGGGGGGAGCCTCTGAAAGATGGGATAAATAATGTACTGCATTGAAACAGATGAGGGAGAAAACTGTTTAAAAGGGATATGTGATTAGGTATTTTTGTCATGACAGGAGTCCAGAGCGAAGGCTACATGGTAGAGTGGACCTGGGAGGAGGTTTGTAAAACAATGAAAGAATTTTCTTTTACTTTTCCAAGAGGGTAGTGTACTAGGGGGGAGGGTTGGGAGGGGAGAAAAGTGCAACAATGAATAAATGGAAACCCAAAGTCTCTGTAAATTTTCATTGAAATTAATAATAAATTAAAAAATGTAATTAAAAAAGACTTATATTTTATTTATAAGTTAAAGAAATTTTGATTTTTTAAATTTTTAATAAATGTCCAGATGAGGTGCTAAAGTAGATATCTAAAGCACTAGTAAGAAAAAGAGTCAATATGATTAATTATAAGAAAATATAAGCTAATGTCACAATGAGATACTACACATACACCACAATAGCTAAAAGTAAAATAACAAAGTCCACTGACATCACCAATTGTGTTGGTGAGAACATGGAGCATCTACAACTCTCATAAATTATTGGTAAGACAATATAGAATGAAATTACCTGGAAAACTTAGTTATTAGCTACTACAGTTAAGTATGTGGCTATTCTATGACATAGCAAGTCCACTACGAGTGTATACATACTCCAGAGAAATGAATACAAGTGATTATGTACAAAAGTGCCAAAGTCATCTTTATTAATAATACCAATCACTGAAAAAAAATCTCAGCATTCAGGAATTTTTTTTTCATATGTAACCAAAATTGAAAAACAGAATCCTTAATTTAAAGATGTTACACTGGGGGGGAGGGGAAGTAAAACTAAAATTTCCAGGCTGTCTATACGTTCATGTTCAGTAAGTCGTGGCAGTAAAACTGTAATTCCCTAATAGCAGTCAATTAGGCAGTGTAAATACAGCATTTCATATGCTATTATTACCCACTGCAGCTGTTTCTATAGTTAGAAGTGAGTTTTTCAAGGCTGTGAAGAAGCCTTGAAGGTTTATCAATGTAAAAATGGGTAAAGCTTAACCTTAAGCCTGAAATCATGTTACTTTAACTTTCATCAGTAATGACAGAATACTAATCATAGAGACAGAAAGGTACTAACTCCTCTTCCTAGCCCAACACATAGTCTTACCACTTCTATGAAAAGTATTATCTAGGACAGTACTGATCTTATCATGAAATCCATCTATTAAACAGAACCCAAAACTGGGTCACATTTATCTACAATGATTAACAGCAATTTTTAAGAAGACACTAGCTGTCCCTTTGGTAAAACAGCCAGTATTTTTGCTGTCATTGTTGTGTAGTGTTAAACTGGAATCGACTCACAGTCGACTCTCCAGTGGGTTTTCAGAGGCTGTAAATTACACGGGAGGAGAATGACCATCTTAGTCCAGTAGAGCACATGCCTTCAGGCTGGCAGTGCCCTCCTTACCACTGGCCACTAGTGTCAGTAGAGAATAGTCACATTTATTAAAAGAGGATCCAGATAGTGAGTCTTCAGCTTTTGGCTTCCTAGTTCATTCATCAGGAATTGCAGTCTTAAAAACTCCATACCTATTTCCATACCCACCTGTGAACTAGAGAGGGAATTAATGACTCACACACAATCTTCCTTATAAACACATCAGAGTAAGCTTTGAAAATGTACATGGATGGGGACAGAATATAATAATTACTACTTCTTTACTCTTCTTTCTGGATTACCTTGTTTAGTTAAATAACCTGTACTTTGCATATAAAATATGGTAACATGTTAAGTTTGTAGAACCACAAAAACAAAACTAGGATATGAATCTAATGATTCTTACCTTTCATTTTATTTTATTAGTGATATTTTTAGACATCATTTACTTACCATTCTGAACATGTGCATTGAGAATGTGCTTCAAGTGTTCGATTGACCTAACCAAGAACCGTGCTTCCTTACATACAGGGAGAGAAAAGAAAAGAAAAAGTAACTTTTAAAGAGGTGTGTTAAGTACAGTATAAATGGTGACTTCTTAGATTGATTGTTGCAGAATGTGGAAGAATATGGAATTAAGAGGTATTTTATCATATGATAATTTCATCAGAATCAACTCTCTAGTAATTAAATAATAGCATATAAAGATTAATTCCTAGAAAGTCCTGGGCCATACAACATATGGGTTTAACATATGGATTAAAAACCTGCTAAACTGTGGTCTCTGTTGATGTGCTGTTCCAGTCGTTTTGGATAATATTCAGCAGAATCTTGTTTGCATGTGATATCAATGATACTGTTCAATAATTCCCACAATCTGTTGGATCACCTTTCTTTGGAATGGGAACAGAGATCTCTTGTATTCAGTTGACCAAGTAGTTGTCCTCCTGATTTCTTGGCACAACTTGGTGAGCACTTCTAGAGGAGCAGCATCTGTTTGTTGAAATATGTTAATTGGTATGCCATCAATTCCTGGAGCCTTGTTTTTTGCCAATTCTTTCAAAGCAGCTTGAACTTCTTCCTTCATCACCTTCCTTCATAGGCTCTTGATCTTATGTTGTTTAATGAAATTCTTCTGGATCTGCCAATTCCTTTCTGTACAGTGACTCTGTATACTCTTTCCATTTTCTCTTAATACTTCCTGGATCATTTAATATTCTGCCTAAAGCATCCTTAAGTATTGCAACTCGAGGTTTGAATCCTTGAGCTTAAGAAATGTTGAGTGAGTTCGGCCCTTTTAATTTTCTGACTCCAGTTCCTTGCACTGGAACTTTAATTTGTCTTCCCGAGATGCCCTCTGGAATCTTCTGTTCAACTCCTTAAACTTGATTTTCCCCTCTACTTTGGCTTCTCGGTGCTCTAGTGCAATGTTCACTTTCTTCTGACATCCATTTTGGTCTTTTCTTCCTCCTCTATCTTTATAATGACCTTTTGTACTCTTCCTGGATGATTTATCCTCCCTCCCTCCCTCCCTCCCTCCCTCCC